CCGCCGCCCTCGGCAGCGCGAGCCCCATCCCGGCCCCCGCAGGTGCTGCTGAGCAGGAACTACGAGAAGGCGCTGGAGGAGATCGACGAGAACCTCATCTACTGGCCGCGCTTCATCCGGCACAAGTGCAAGCAGCGCTTCACCAAGATCACGCAGTACCTCATCCGCATCCGCAAGCTGACGCTCAAGCGACAGTGAGCGACACCTTTCCCCCCTCTGCTTCCCGGCACTCCGGGGGATGCGGTCGTGTCCGTTCGGCTTCCCAAGCCCCTGCCCCTCTGCTGAGCTGCGGTCCCTGGCTGTGTTCAAACCCTTCCCGACTGTAGGAATTTGCTCTAGCGGTTTTCCTGGTGGCAGGAAGCTTTGGCGGTCCTGGTATTGAACCCAGGATACGCAGATGGACTTGAACTAGTGGTACTCGCCCTTCTAAGGATGCAGCCGCTTCCGCGAGGCCGGTTGTTGTCCCGAGGGAGCGCCGGGTCGCGCGAGGCCGGACGCTCCGTTAACCGCCCGCGTTGTTCCCTGCAGGAGGAAGCTCGTTCCTTTGAGCAGGAAGATTGAAAGGCGGGAGAAGAGGAGAGAGGTAACGCGGTTCTTCCATGCGGGCTCTCCGGTGGCCCCTGTGTCTCTAAAACAACTGACCCGGCTCCTCTTTGGTTTGCCAGGAGAAAGCCCTGGTAGCTGCTCAGCTGGACAACGCCATCGAAAAGGAATTGCTGGAGAGGCTGAAACAGGCTACCGTAAGGATCACTGCCCTGCTCTACCATCCATGGGAGCACATGCTGGGGAATTAGGGAAGGGGCTGGGGCACAAGTTCAGCGTGGTCCAATGCTGCCTCCGCGCAGGCCCTGGGCTTTAGATAGTCCTGTTACCCCGCGCTGCTCGTCTGGCATGACCTGATCCACGTTTTCCTTTGCAGTACGGAGACATCTACAACTTCCCCATCCACGCTTTCGACAAAGCTCTGCAGCAACAGGACGCAGAGAGCGACTCCGACGTGGAGAAGGAAGAGGAGGAAGAGGAGGTAACGTTCCCGGCGTTCCCCGGCCTCGTGCAGCCCCTTCGTGTGCCGGGAGGCCAGGCCGAGAGCAGCGGGTTGGGGATGTGAACTGCGGAAAAGCGCCCGTGTGCCAGGGAATGACGAGTGTCCCTGTCCCTGCACGTGGCTCCTGCTGGCGGGTGCGTGGTCAGGAGCGGAGACCCTCGTGCTCACGTATTGGGAGCGTTTATGCCCCGTAATTCTCTCTTAACCCTAATTCCTCGGTGGGTACCGACAGCGTAGTGCAAACCCCCTCCCTTCTGATTATTTCTTGCAGGACGCGGATAAGAGGGAGTTTGTGGAAGCCGATGACAGCGAGCTGAGTGATTTCGAGGTAGGGGAAGCACTGGGTATCCCCCATAAGCTACGTGGAAGGAGCCTTCACCAGGCTGGTGTCTGGTGATGGGCTCAGAGCCAGTGCAATGGCCTTCGAGGCCATTATATATATATATCAGTGACACTGGTGATATATATATATCATATATATCAGTGATACTGGTGGCCACAGAGCTGGGAGCCAGGAACCAAGCAACGGAGCTGGCTGCACCCGTCGCGTTGCACAGAGCGGAGGTTTAGGCACATGCCCTGCTTGTCCCTACCACAAACGTTAAATCTCTTCTCTTGCTCACTCAGGACATGGATAAGTTGGAGACAAGCAGTGAGGAAGAGCAGGAAGACAAGTCCTCAAGCGAGGAAGAGGAGAAGGAGAGAGAGAAGAAAGCCGCTCGCTCCAAATCCAAAGGGAAAACTCCTTTGAAAGGTCCAGCCAGGAAAAAACGACCCTACATTGAAATAGAGTATGAAGAAGAAACGGAGCCGACTGCTAAAACAAAAACAACCTGACTCTTTCCTGGACTTGCATTTTGTACTGAACGACAAGACCCCAGCTCTGTCACTAAAATCACTCCAGCTTCCCCCTGTCTGAGCAAAAAACAGCTACCCCCATGAGATTAAAAACTGTCTCCAAGATGAGAAGAGTTTCTGTCCCACCCCTGGGAAACTGCAGTGAGTTTGTGCAGCTCCTGCCTGAGCTGCAGTTCGGTGAAGACGACGAACCACCTTTGCAGCTCCACGAGGCTGAGCCTAGAAGGAACCTGGACAGGGGACACCAGTGCTTTACTCTAATGCTGGGAAGGCCCGGGTGTGATGAGGGATACACAGGTACCCTGTTTGTGGGGGTACAGGGCTAACAGAGAGGAGGACAAAGATGTCACCTTTAAATAAAAAAGTATTTTACTGTACAAGAGCAGGAGAGCGTGGGCGCAGCCCTGCCTCACGTGTCCTCCCGCACCTTCCTGATGCAGTCCCGAACGCGGCCCTCCTCGCAGCTCTCGTACACCCCTTCCAGCAGCACCTGAAACAGGGAGAGCGGCGGCTCGCAGCGCCTGGGCACAGGCAGGTTGAGGAAGTCGCCTCCTCCCCACTGTGCGTTGCAGGAGAACGATACAGAACACAGTATCTGCTGGTAGGGGACGGGGTAGGTGTCAAGTACAGTCGTGGGTGGGAGCGCCGCTTCGGGAACGGTGTTGGGCTGAGGGAGCAGCTGGGCTCCCGCGTGCCCCACAGGGAGGGCAGCAGCTTGAGGGGCGCTGCTGGGGTCAGCGCTCACCTTCACCTGCTCCTCGGAGCACCGGTCGAGCAGCACGAGGCACTCGGTGGCTCCCTGCAGCAGGGCGGTTCTCACGGGCTCCGGGGTCGGGCCCTGGTCCGTGTGGACGTCCCAGAGCATCTTCAGCAGCGCCGGGAGGAGCACGGGGAGCCTGCAGGGCATCCTGCATGGGGAAAAGCCGGGTGCTCCTTAGTTTAGTGAAGACCTAGCCTCTCCGGGAACATCCTGGCTCATGGAGCGCGGCCGGGGCTTCCTGCTCCTCGGCACAGGGCT